TGGTCTCACTGTGGCCTGAGCAGCTGTCCAGGTCAGTGTGGGCTCCGCTGCCGTCGTCTCACTGTGGCCTGAGCAGCTGTCCAGGTCAGTGTGGGCTCTGCTGCCGTGGTCTCACTGTGGCCTGAACAGTTAAGGTCTCACAGCGTGCTCTGTTCTTGTCTTCCAGGGAGAGGCTCGTTCCGGCCAATCCAATCCTCTTTGACCAAAGCAGCTCTGTCACGGCCGATTGTGCCCAAGGTCCTTCCGGCCCAGGCCACCAGTCACCTTGCCAGTAAGTTCTGGTGACCCGGCATGGTGGCCATTTCTGTGCTGGCTTTTTGGGTGACTTTGATCACTAGTTTCTTAAGCATTTTATTCTTCTCTAAATGATGACATCTGGCATCCCATTTCCCAGAATTCTAAGACAGCATCTTACCCATCAGCCATTGTGTTGACTGAGGTGTGAGGGAGGAGCCTAAGCCCTGGTCCTTCTGGGACATCCCTGGGATGTCTGCAGAGCAAAGTGTGAAGCGTAGTTCTGTCTCCAGGTGCCATTGACCTGGCTGCCAAGAGTGCTGGCATCATTCCCGGGAGCCCCCTCCCCGTCTTGGACAACGAGGCTTTATCTGGCATCTCTCCACTGCCCGCGGACGATGTGAGCGCAGCACTTGCTGACCAGGACGCTACCAGGACCCGCCAGAATGGACACCCCATCTCCGCTGTGGGTGTATGTGTGTCCAGTCCCCATTCTCCCCAGGGACGCTCAGGGCCCCAGCTCCTGCCTTTCTCCTGGGGGGGTTGGTGAGCATTAGTGTTATGGGAGGGGGATGAGTGTGTGCTGCCCAAGAGCAGCCAAGGTGGGCTCGTGACCCTGAAGGACTGCAGGGGCTGGCTTAGTCTCTTCTCAGACTCGAGCAGTTGGAAGTCCACAGGTGCCTGTGGGCAGAGTTGGGCTTGGGCCTAGGGAATAACTTCATTGGCCTTGTGTTCTGCCTCTTCCATCTGGGTGAGCCCAGCTGCTGTGCGGCCGGCCCTCCAGGGCCCCCGATTCCCAGGAGCCCAGCCCTGCTCGGGTTTCAGCTGCCCCTCAGGAAGCACTCTGTTGTGGTTCCCTGTTCTCATGTTTCTGGGGCCTGTTAGGAAGCCCAGTGTCGTCTCTGTACTTCCCTCCAGAGCTCTTGGAGTGACTGCTCACTGTCCTCTTGCTGTTCTTCTAGGGAACGAGCAGTCCTTTCATCAGTGTCCCCTCAAGACTCAAGCCGGAGCCTGAAGCGGTGGTGGACAGCTTCCAGGTATAGCATGCCCGTGGACGCCGAGCACTATAGTCCTGCCCAGGCCCCCGTCCAGCATCTGAGTCCCCGCCCTCCCCAGTCCTGCCATGTGTTGCCGTCCTTCCGTCCACTGGTGTCTCCCCCAGCACACTCAATCTCACACACACACACATACACACACACGGCTGGAAGGACTGTCCAGCCAGGGTAGGCAGTGTCGCCGGGTGGCAGGGCTACCCAGGCCTCCCATGTCATCGTCTTGTGACAGGCTTGGGGACTGGTCACTGTCGGCGGGTCTGACTAAGGCACTGCCTCTGCAGGGCTCCTCTGTCCTCTCCCTCCCTGAACTGCCCAAGGCTCCACTCCAAAATGGCCCCTCGTCAGGAGGTGCCAGCGCTCGGCTCTCTCCGCCCAATGTGTCAGCGCTGCTGGACCTGTCCCTCCCAGGGCCACCCGAGGACGTGCTGTCTCAGGGTGAGCCCGCCACGCACATCAGTGATTCCATCATTGAGATCGCCATCAGCTCTGGCCAGTTCGGTAAGTGCTGCGCCCCCAGGTCAGCGTCTTGTCTGTATTGCTCGTTTTGTGCAGATGCATCCTCAGATCTTGGGCTCCTGGGCCCTGCACTGCCTTCTGGGGGTACCCTTAAGGAAGCAGGGTGCTATGGTTCTGACCACGAGTGTGGTTTGCAGGTGAAGGTGTCTCCCTTTCTCCGGCCAAACTGAATGGTAGTGACAGTTCCAAGAGTCCCCCCTCCCCATCTAGCAGCCCCCAGCCCAACTGGATCGCCTCCCCTGCCCACGACCCCCAGTGGTACCCCAGCGACTCCACCGACTCATCACTCAGCAGCCTCTTTGGTAAGTCTGGGCGCTCAGGAGGGTCGGTGTCTGGGGCGGGTCTCTGTTTCCTGCTCTTCCGCAGGACGTCCACAGACGTCCACAACTTGGGCTTGGTCTAATTAGGTGTTGCTGCTTTTCTGAGTTAGTTGTGTATTTCATTTAGACATGGGGACAGCACACAGATCTTCAGTGTCACAAGTTCTCTTGACTATTTACTGTGTTTTTACACAGCGTACCTGTTGTATGGGGTTTTGCAAACAGTACAATCACCTCATGCTCTGCATGTTATATACATGTGACAGCGCGTTATATGGGAAGCATACGTTGTGCCCATGTGAGCCATAAGCATGGTACAGCTCATCTGCATCTGCCCAGCCCCAGACCGATGTACCCGTGGCTCTGGCCTGGCACGGCCAGCCCTCTGGTGGCTCCTGAGTTGTCTGCAGATTTTGTGGCGGCAAGTTCTCTGCTATAGGTTGGAGCCCCTGTGGTCAGTATCCTTGGGAGGGTTTGTTAGAGGAAAGGTATTGCTGTCCTCTGTTTCCCCACTTGTGTTTTTAATGACACAGCATGGGGGTGCAGGTGTGCACTGTCCCCAGCAGCCTTCAGCTTTGAGCACATGTGTGTCCACTAGACCAACATGGCTGGCATGATCACAGGGTCTTGAGGTGAAGAGGGCATCCACCGCTTAAAAGTGTTCCTGTTATAAAAGTCACATGTCACCGTGACAAACCAAAGCCCAACCCATTAAGTTCAAGCTGATGCTAACTCATTGCAACCGTGTAGGACACAAGAGAAGTGGCCATAAGGTATCCAAGACTAAATCTTGACGGACTCAGACTGCCACATGGTATTACACGGAGTGGCTGCTAGGTTGAAACCACTGACCTTTTGGTGGGCGTCCACAAGCGTGCCACCACCAGGATTCTTGTGCCCCAGTACACAAGTTATGAACTATGAGATACAAAATCATAAAACATTGGAAACCACCTTCCTGGCTCCCGTAAGTGAGGGCGTGGTGTCGCCGACTGTTGACAGGGTTAGGGCACCTGAAAAAGTGAATCCCAATGCCACGTGCCTGTTAGGGCCATCCGGGGGCCCATGTGAGAACACTGTGTACCTGGATGGGCAGCCACCCAGACTGAGCGGGCACTTGGGTGGGGTATTGTTCTGTGGTTTCTCTTTGCAGCCAGCTTCATCTCCCCAGAGAAGAGCCGGAAGATGCTGCCGACTCCCACTGGGGCGACCAGCGGCACCTCCTTGCTGGGCCCCAGCTTGCTGGATGGGAACTCACGGGACTCCTTTGTATCCAGGTCCCTGGCCGATGTTACAGAGGTACGTGCTGCCATTGGGCACCGTCTCCTGCCTGAACTTGACCTCTCAGCCCTGGTTCCTGAGACTTCCCTTGACTTGCACAGTGAGCTGCTAAAACAGGAGGTGGTGCTTGCAGCTCTGGGTGTCTGCCTTCTCTTGAAAATTAAAAGACCTGGCTGCACTGGGCCAGCATGTGTGCCTGAGGGACGTCACAGAAATAGCCTGAATGACAGCAGGTCCCGGGGGGCATCCAGGCATGGGAGCCCGGGCACCAGGGTGCAGCATCTGTCTGCCTCAGTTTTGTCCTGTGAAGTGGGGCCTCTTGTGTGGAGCACTCTCGCCCTTTCTGTCTTTCCAGTGCTTGGACAGTGGGCACCTTGGGCCAGCAGCTCCAGCTATGCTCTGCCATGGGTCTTGCCAAAGAGGGGGAAGCAGCCGTGGCTTCATGGGACCACTAACGAATGTTTATCCAGGACTCTGTGCCTGATGTAGTGGGTTAAGCTTTGAACTATTAACCATGAGATCAGCAGTTCAAATCCACTAGCTGCTTGGAAACCATGTATACAGACAGGGCAGTTGGGTGCTCTCGGGTCGCCATGTGTGGTGATGGACTCCATGGAAGGCAGGTTGGGTTTGGGGATCTGTGGTGTGGCACAGCTACAGGCAAATCCCGTCCTGAGGCTCTTGTTCCAGCAGATGACTGGCCGGGTATGAACGAACGCCCCGTGTCCCTAGTCTCCACTTCCCTCTGTGCGTCTTCAGGCCCTGTGTTCACCCCCAACCTTTGCGTCTCCCGTGTGCTGGCTGTGCCGGGTCCCACCCAGGTCGTTTGCAGTTTCTCCCTCACATCCTGATGCTTCTTCCTCTCCCACTCTTGCTCCTCCCACCTCCTCCCAGAATCCTCCTTGGACTCCCCCAACCCTGTTGCACATGCTGCCCCTGGGCCTCTCTTCCAGCGGCACCTCGCCCACTGCGTCCCCTTTGTGTATTGAGGGGTATTTGTGTATCAGCTGTCTGCTGAAAATCAACAGAGGTGCCAGTGAGGTTCCCCACAGAGCTCTGGGCTGCCACTGCAGGGCTAGAATCCAGCAGGGGCTTGACGGGACAAGTCTGATGGGTCCTGGAAAGAGACACCAGCTCATTGGCCTTCCTTGGTGTGTCCCCTGACGCGCCCTCCCTGCTCTGTCCTGCAGGTGGTGGACTCTCAGCTGGTGTGCATGATGAATGAGAATAGCATTGACTACATCTCTCGCTTCAACGACCTGGCCCAGGAACTGTCCATTCCTGAGCCCAGCCGCCGGGAGGTCCTGTTTGATGGCAGCGGGCCCCCCATTGGGGACCTGTCGCAGTGACCGCACCGCCTGCTGCAGAGGAGGGCTCTGGGGCTGCTGGCCCTCAGCCGTAGTGGGTAGCCCTCTTCCAATGAGAAAAGTCACAGGTCAAGCTCAGGCCCCCTCCCAAGTACTTCCAAACAGAGGACCCAGGCAGCCGCCAGGAACAGTCGACTCGGAGCTGCGCTCAATGGCAGAGGCTAGCCCAGAACCAGGATGAGGTTTCGTGTTGGGATCTGTAGAACAGTGACGTTTCAGCCACACTTTGTCTGTGGGTTTGCTATGCTGGGTGTTTCTGGGTGGAGAGCGGGGGCCTCACATGGGGGCCTGCCTCAGGGAAGCCATTGCATCCTGAGGAGTGGGAGATGTCCCTCTGCAGGGGGCCCACCGCTGCTCCTTCCTCCCCACCCATGGGATGGATGGCAGGGCTTGGGATCTGGGCAGCCTACTGGTGCCTATGCCCTGAGGCAGCAGGTAATGACCAAGGGGCAGGTAGCTGGCACCTTAACCCAGGGATGCCATCCCATCTGGAGGTTAAACAGGGAGGGAAAGAATCATGTCTTAGGCAGGTCAGGGACTTCCTTAAAGTGCCTGCTGAGCTGTCTGGAACACATGTTCCTCGTGTTTTAAGAATTAGGAGATGTTGAGGAACTGTGTCCCCCGGTCATTGGCTTCCTTCCCGTGTCCACCCGCATGTTCTCCTAGGTGGTAGAGGGGATGCTTCTTGCTGTTGGGATGGCCTAAGCACTAGCTTGACTACAGAGGGGCTTTCCAGTCCCATCATCCCGTTCAGCATCCCCTCTTCCTCTCTTGGGCATTGGTGAGGGGTGTGCCCTGCGATGCAGCGTAAGCCGTGGCCTCTACCTATGCCCGTGGCTTCCTGTTGTCCTTATTCCTAATCAGGGAATCCCGGGCAACCACACTACACCCCTTTGGTGGCTTCCTCAAACCACCTTGGGTGTGTGACCGTGGTGAGTCCTGCAAATGCTTGAGTGACCAGCCAGGCCAGTCTTTCTCCTGAATGGAGTCCAGGGAGGCCTAGGCACACAAGTCACCATCCAACCACACACAGCGTGTTGGCCAGTCACCCCGTATCGGTAGCCAGGATCAATTTGGTCTTTTAAACCCCAACTGCACCTGCCCCTGTCTGCTCCACCGTTCTTTCCTTGTCCCTCACCCAAAGAGTGGTGGTCCTCAGGACTGCTCTGCCTTCCTCAGCAGAGCAGTGAGCCAGTGAGAATAGTCTCTTGATCTGTGGCCTCCTGAGCTGGTCACACCCTCGCAACTGCAGACTGCTGGCGGGAGGCATGTCGCATTTCCCCCAGAGTTCGTGTCTGGAAAAGGGTTTCCTTCCTTCTGCTCTTCTTCTCGGCACAAACATCACTGGCTCTGGAGATTATTACAAGTATGAAGAAAAGGAACTTGGTACCACTTCATTATAACACATGGAGAGCAGGGTTTGAACCCGAGTACTCCAACTTGCTTGTGTTCTGTGCTCATTCTCTCAGCTTCCAGAAACTAGCACGTTAACTGGGCTGAGCCAGATGAGCAGATCCCTGGGGACCTAACTCTGCTGGGTCTAGAGTAGATTAGGACACCAGGCCCAGTGGAGGCCACTACTGCCTTTCTCCTCCTCCCACGGTCTCAGGTCCCATGGCCTCGCACCTATAGCGGGAGCAGTCCCAGGGATGGTCCGACTCCTGAGCTGCAGACCCGAGGCAGTCAGTGGGGAGGTTGGCATTCTTTTCCCAGTAACATGTAAATGGAAGAAGATTCTGACAGTTGGAATCGGCTTGCCAACTCCTTGCCTTGGGTCACTGGCAAAGACTCTGTTTGGGAGCGATGGGCAGGGGGGTAGCATCTGCTCATCGTAATAAAGGGGAAATGGTCACATCTGTAGTGGGAAAGCAGCAGGTACGTGTGAAAACCAACAAGTATCAAAGGCTGTAAAGGGATTTTCAAAAGGCCCAAGCAGAGAAATCTTCCACTGGCTTCCCAGCAGAGTCTGGGCTCCTCCCAATGTGAGCCTGTGACTTCCTGTGTGCCTCTGAGCACGTTGTGATATCTACAAGATCGGATTCTTGGAAAAATCTTTTCCTAGATCATTCTATTGTTGTCTGGGATCCTTTTGCTGATTTATCTTTTAAAAGGTTGGGACTGAATTCTCTCAGGTCTGGGGCCTTGACTCTTGATTGTGACTATCTGGTGATGAGTGTTCCATCTTTTAGAAGACGCATAGGTCAGTAGGTGGCTGTTCATATAGTCCCCGCACAGGTCGTGATGATATTCTTTCTCGCCTCTCCTTGTCTTCTAGGCATAGAGTACTTGCTCAGGGAGTGGGGACATTTGGGGACTTCTCCTCAGTCCATCTGCCTACTTCCCCACATGTCCAGGCCCTTAGCATCAGAATACAGCCCTTTACCATCCTATCCTATGGGCACATAACTTTGCAGTTCCATAACTTCTCTGACTAGACTACACCATTGAACTTGTTCTGTAAAGAGAAGTCGGGATACAAGACACTGGAAAGAAAGTGAGAAGGCTAACAGTTTCTAAAAAAAAGAAAAAAAATCTGTTATTTTTGTAAGCATTTAGAGCTAGCAGATACGTGTCTGGGAAAATAAGACACTTAATTTCTTAGGACAAAAGGAAGTAAGAAAGAACCTCTTAGCCAACTTTTGCCTCATGTCCAGGCTCGGCTAACGTCACAGCCATCCTAAGGCATGCTAGAGAAGGTGAGACTTGCCAGCACTACAGCCCCCTGTATCCCTCCTACCCCAGGGTAACTGGCCCTGGCGCTCATGGGCTGGGCAGCAGAATTCATTGCTGTATCTTTTCATAATAGTTAAGCCATATCATCTGAGGTTTTCGGCTTGTTTGAGATGTGAGTTTGTTTCATAGATTATAAATATACATATACAGTGTATGTATAAAGCAGAATGCCTGTCCTTCCTGATTATTTTTTTGTACCATACTGTAAATTATATTATTTATTCTTTACCAATTTTGGGAATTAAAAAAGGTGTTTCGGTTATTTAATATAATAAACAAAAGCTGTTAAACTTCTTATGTTTAAATTTCCAGTTCAACTTGTAAATCTGTTTTTATTGTGCATAAATACATACTAAAACTTGATCTAATCATTGTTGTTACTGCCTTTTAAAACCAATTTTTGTATTTCTATGAAAAATAAAAGAGCCATGGCAGTCCAGTGGGATAAATGGTGGGTTTCTGACCACGAGGTCAGTGGTTCGAACCCTACAGCCGCTATGCTGGGGAAAGACGAGGCTCTGCTCCTGTAAGGATTTACCTTCTCACAAACACTACGGAGCACTTCCACTCTGCCCTAGAGAAGGGCTGGGGAACCTTTTTTCTGCCAAAGTTTGTAACGTCGTTTGTGGACCATACAAAATTATCAACTTTAAAAATTAGCCTGTTATATTGGGTCCTTTAACGGACTCGGCTCTAGCGAATGGCTGGAACTGTGCCCCGGACCCGATGGTTTCACCTGCCTTCCCAGCCGCTGGCGCGCTGCTGTGGCCCTAGGGCTGGGATCCAGCGCTCCCTGGAAACCCTCTACACGGACCACCCAGAACCAGGGTCCTTCCCAGTCAAAACCCTGTGCTGCCGCCTGGGGGCGCCTTGGGTTTTGAGTCAGTCCTGGGACGACCCAGGGCCTGTTGTCTGCGGCGTGGTGCCCGCTTCCTGTTCTGTTGTCCCCTTGGGCAGCAGTCCCTTAGAGAGGGACACAGTGGCCCTCTTGAACCAATAAATGGCGATTTCTGGTGTTTTCATTGGCCAAGTTCCGCAATGCCTTTGACCTGGCGTGCTCACAGGCCGGAAGGCACAAGCTGTTCCGAATCCGAATCAATCAAGGACTGGGTGACCCGTGGCTTCCGGTCACCAGCTGCTCAGGGCAGCGTTGGGTTACCCTGTAAGCATGGTAAGCACGGCTTCCTTATGCTTACTAATCTGTAACGAACGAACAATTTCCCGTTTTTTCTCCACATCAGAGATTCTGCTACTAGATCCTCCTGGCATGGGTCTCTCTCCCCACCCCACAGCACGTCCCTTCCAGGGACGGAGGACCAGTCAGGAAGGTAAGCACGGGCTGACTTGTGTTTTCACCACATCTTTCTTTGTTCACTGTAAAATTTTTCATGTCGCGTTCTCTAGAGATTAATAAGTAAGCATAAGTGAGGCCGTGCTTATCTTGCGGGCTGGGTTGGGTACTCCGCCTCTGGCTTCGGTGAACCACGGCCGAGAGGTCGATAGGTCGGCGCCTCACGGAACGGCGCCGGGCACGGGATCCGCCCGTCCTTCGATTTCGGACCGCTGGGTCCTGGAAGTCCCGCCGCGCCCCCGGCGCCGCGTCCAACTCAGCGCTGCGCCCGGGCGGTACCGCCCTTGCTGACCCGCTTACCCAATGCTAGTGTCTGCCGTCGTGAACGACGTCTGCTCTCACCAATCGGCTGAGAGAGCGGCACGGGCCTCTGCAGATCGCCCTCTCATTGGTGGTGGCTGGCCGCGGAGGGGCGGGTCTAGGGGGGTCGCCATAGGCTGCGGGCCCTGATTGGCGTCGCCGAAGTCCAATGGGCACTGGCGGGTGGGAGCGAGTACCTGCGCTAGGCCGGCGGGAAGCCCAGCGTTGAGAATCGAGGGAGGCGCCGGACTGCGGTCGACATGTTCCAGGGGCCCGAGAGCGAAGGCGGCCGGGCCGGCTCCAGGTGCACCGGGCGGTCAGGCGCGGGGAGGCGGCGGGACGAGCGCGCTCGGAACTCCGCGGGATGAGCCGAGGAACTCTTGTCCGCGGTCCTCTGGGCGCCAGGAAGTGGGCCCGTCGGGTGGGCGCGGCGAGGCGGGACTCCGGGAGGGACCGGAGATGCCCGCGGGACGGCGACGCGCGTCCCGGCAAGGCGACCTCAGTTGGCGCCTCCGGGGCGGGCGCTTCAGGGCGACGGGCGCCTGAGCGACCCTCTGGGCAGTACGGCCGGCGGCCTCCGGACTCGTGTTATGGGCGGCACGTGCGGCGCGGGCACTCGAGGGGCGACAGCCCGCCGCTTTTTATTGTTCTTAGTTCGAAAGTGTGCTTTTATTGTGTTTCCGGTGCGGGCTCGTGTGCAGCAGTGTCCACCCAAGTTGTTCATTGACTTTGGTGACGTTCCTCTCGGCTCCGCTCGGTGGCCCCGGCGGCCGCGCCTCCATTCATCGTTTCCCCGCCCCTGGGCTCGGCTTAGGAAGACCTTGCGAGCCGTTGCTTTTTCTTTTAAAACATGCTTTTTCTGAATATTGCTCCCGGTGGTCGCCTATTTTTTGAGCCACGTTGTGATTTAACTGCAAGGTGACCTCAGGGCCGAGTTTCCATCCAGAGTCTGAAGAGTGTGGCAGGGCGGTGGTCTCGGGGGGTCCTCCGGTCTCTGCCGGCCCCGTAGGTCTGGGGTTTGGTTTGTAGAGAGTTGGAGATTCTGCTCCCCGCCGGTTGGAAGGCCGAGCTGAGCCTGCGGAGACTATCTGTCGGGGTTAGATGTGGGGGGCGGGCTGCAGGGGTCTCGCCTGCCGTCTGAGGGCCGAAGAAGAGTCTGTTGTCATTGTGAAATGCCATCAAGTCGGTTCTGACTCATAATGACCCTGTATAGGGTTTTCGGGGAGCAACTGATGGGTTTGAACCACGGCGCAAACCCCAAGGAGAGTCTGGATTGATTGTTAATGGGGACCCACCCTGAAGGGTGCTGATGCGAACCTTGTCCTGGGAAGAAGGTGGCTTCGGAGTGCGCGCTCTCTCTCCCTGCAGTCTCCACCAGAGCAGTGATGGGAATCGGATACAATCCCTACTCCGTTCCACCCCACGAACTCACAGCACGGTGCCTTCCTTAACACAACATTGGTGGTTCAAACCCACCAACTGCTTCTTGGAAACCCTATGCAGGGTCCCTATGAGTCAGAAAGAACTCAATGGCACTTAACAACAACGAATCAGCCACCAAAAAACCAAGCCCACTTCCGCCTCATTGGGTTCTCAAGGATGTAATGTTTACCTTACTAGATTGCCACATCTGCTCCACGGGTGGATTCAAACCGCTGCAACACCAGAGTTCCTTAACTCAACATTTAGGGCCGTTTGTACCAGGGGACTTCAAAAAGTCTGTGGGGAAAAAACTCTTTTAATTCCATTTTCCATAAATTTTGTGTTGCCCCCTTGGCAATGGGACCAAAAATTTATCCCAGGAAACTCAGAGTAAATCAAGCAGTACCTAGGGGGCCTTGGGTGGCTGGTTCAGGCTGTCAGGCAGTTGCAGTTCCATACCACTCACAGCTAGGAGAGGGACCACATCCACGAAATTGGGTCCCTTGTGGTTTACTGGATGCCCACTAAATGCTGGTGGAGTTAATGAACACACCCCATGAGAGAGTGACATGGATATACTGACTTTCAGAGCACCAGACTTGGTTAGCTGTAAAGTAGTAATTCTCAGATCTTTGGGGAATTTGATTTGAAAGAGGTTATTATGAAAGGGAAATCTTCTTAAGATGCTAAAGAAGGAAGACCAGTCTTTTTAACTGGGTGCTGAAATGTAATTGGTGTCTTCGGATTAGGATCTCTTCGAGGTCTACGTTTTCCCAGCCGTCTTAGCAGACAGGAGCAGCAGAACCGCGCAGATTCACATTGAGTTCTGCTCTGAAGTGACTTGGCTTCAGAGCCTTTCCTCTCTTCAGACACTGCAGTTAGGCAGATTACCAGAGTCATCTTTTGTTTTCTGCTTGAAGGACTAGCTAGTGTCTACAGAATTTAGAGTTGTGAATGCATGATGAGCCTAAGATTTTTCTTTTAAAATATAACATTTATATTTGTAAAGAATTTAACCTATTTCCTCTACTGTACTTCTCCAAACCTGACTGCTCCCCAAAAACTTTTCCAAAATGCTGGGACAAGCTGTTGGAGAGAGGTGGTGTGCCTGGGCACCCTCAGCTGAGAAATCCCTCTTGTTTGCTGGGCTTCTGCCAACCACCTAGTCAATTTGAGCCCCGTGTGTGTGCCTTTTTTTTTTTTTTTGTCATATGCCCCTTAATTTCTCTTGTGTACTTTTGAGTATCTTTATCAGAATATGCTGCTGAAGTGTGTTGTGTGGTTAAGTGCCATGGAGTCGGTACCAACTCATAGTGACCCTATTTATGCACAACAGAACAAAACACTGCCCGGTCCTGGGCCAACCTCACAATTGTTGCCA